CTGATTTTCATTCCCCTCCAACCAACAATTGCAAAGCCAAATGTTGATAAGGAATTGGATGCCAGAAGCTGGTCTTGAACCTGCATGTTGGCAGCGACTCTGTCAGTTATGTGCCATGCGTGATGTACGCTTCGGTGATCATGTATCTTTCTATACATGACTGACGAGGCAGATTTTTTTTACCCTTATAAGGTTGCCATTTCTTTCTGCGGTAGACCAGTTGCCATCCAGGGCTATAGAACCCAGTCTGTCCTGCTATTTACCAATAGCTGTTTGGAGAAGAGGATTCATACCTTTCCTAAGGGTATTAGCATGTAATTGAATGGAATTCAAACTCTGCTCAAATTAAATTGAATACGAAACAAATTCAGCCTTTTTGCCACCCCAAAAATGAAACCACCTTATATGAAGTGTGCTATATCAGGATGTAGGTGGATGATTATGGCCCTCCCCAGCTTCCTAACTTATACTCTTTTATAACTCCCCTTGTTCTCATGTTCATTATTTTCAAGTTGGTTACTTATTGCTTTCATCTTCTCTATCCATATATAACCTTTTCAATATACCCCATTACTATAAAAGTAAAAAGGCTGGCTGAGTACTGAGGTAATTGACTTTTTTTTTTTTTTTTTTTCTCTGTTAGACAAAATTTTAGGTGTTTATTTTGAAGGTGAACTCTCGCCAATAAAATGTTTGGTGCAACACAGTCTTACTAATTTGTTCATCTTTGGACTGGGCAAAGTTAAGCCTAGAAAACATCTCTGCCTGTGGAAAGACAAGAAAGAAAAATGCATAAAAGAATTTTAATGTTTTTTTTTTTTTGTTTTTTTTTTTATTTATTTCTTTTGGTTTTTACAAGATTCCTAAGATGGCACTGAAAGATTGGAAATCATAAAAATCTCCAAAAAGGTTTGTAACATCGGCATTCATTCAATGTCTCTCTGTACATTTTCATAAAAAAATTTTTTTTTTGTTCTGATTTAGTAATGTTGGATTTTTTTTTTTTTTTTTTTTTTTTCCTCCCTTAATTCTGTCTTCTTTGACTTTCAGGTACGACCTCCCTCATTATTCCAGTCATAAGCAAGTAGAAAATATTTTTAGCAGTATTATTTATTTTTATTTATCTATTTATTTATTTTTTTAAATGATTCTGGCAAAGTTTAACATTTACACCTGCAAAGAAACAGTGTCAAAAGTATGTTTTTGTTTTTGTTTTTCACCCCCACCCCCTCTTGGTGCCACGATTATGGCAAAAAAAGTATTTTTATTAAAATCATGTATTCTCTTTTTTTCTTTATTATTTTTTCCTCTAGAGAATTAATAACTAAAGCATTAGACACTGTTTGCAATTAAACAGTTGAATAAATGTTTAAAATTTTGGTTGTCAAATCTTCAAAGTTTAAACCAATGCTCCTAAACTATTTTAGGGAAAGCAAATCCTGGAAAAACTTTTTTTTTTTTTTTTTTTCTCCTTATAATTACACTTACTCATTGTGTTCATATAAATTCTTTTGTTCAGACATTTTTATAAATTCATGAATAAAGAAAATTATTTCCATTTCTTTATAATATGGTATTAAATGACATCATAGTTGGTTCACATACCATATATACTCACATACCGTGCGACTTTAAATCTAATTTTAAGGGGGTCGTGTCATACATGAGATATAAAATTAGCATATGTACTACTGGACCTGGTTACACTGTTTATCAAACTATATATACATTTACTGTAGTCAAATTAGCTTCAAAATTAGGTGTTCAAAGGTCACATGAGTATATATGGTATTTTGATAATCTTTTAAATATAAAATTAGTATTGTAAATAAAAAATCTGATAATTTTATTACCAAATCTTGAATGTATAAATCTAGTTTTATATATTTGGGTTTTATCAATTTTAATAACTTTTTAAAACAATAAAAAATTGCTGAGGGAGTTGGAATATGCAGTAATGGTGGTATCACAAGAGAAACTCTCTTTTTGACACACTTTTTATTTTATTTATTTTTTGCAGGTCCATATGTTAAACTCTGTCGCAAATATAAAAGATTGTTACATAATAAAGGGAGGCGACTCTTTTGTGCTTGCATTTTAGATTCACTTTTCTCACAAGCGTTTTTTTTTTTTTTTTTTTTCCATCAGAACATGTAGACAAACAGGGCAGTCAGTTTGGAAAGAAATTAAGTCAATTAGGAAGAATGTGTTTTTATTCTAGTAAACGATTTTTAAGTTAAAATCATCTTGGCAAAAGTTTCTCTTTAATATTCATGAGGCAGGGATGATTTGAAGTCAAAGGAATTGGAAATGTTTGACAGTGGGTAGAGGTGGTTGGACATTACTTTCTTCTCATCAAGACACATTCTACCTTTTTTACAGTTTGGGTTTTCTTCTTGCTCCAAAATTTCACTGAAGTAAAGTGGGGGGTAAAAGCATTTTAGTTAAATTCAAATAAATGAAAGGTGGATTTGATTAATTTAAAAAAAAAATTAAAAAAAATTGGATTTGAGAGATTGACATGTTTTAAATAATTTTTCTTATATTGCATCTTTACAAGAATAGAATCCAGTGTCAAAATTTTTTTTTTTTTTATAAATTGTGATTTAGAAGAATACAATAACTCCAAAATACCGCAGATTTTTACATAAACATTGTTATGAGTATACATACATACCATGACAAAAATAAACATGGTGTTTTGATTGTAAATTTTACAAGTACACAAATGCAAAGGGCATGGGATAATGAATATATACTTTCATTCCAAAGTGTAGCCTATGACGCTTACCCACATGTGGCTGAAGAAACACGGAGCTGACACTCATTGTATGCAGAGCAAATGTATTTTATTTTATCAGGGTTTAGTTAACCCCCTCCCTATGCAAAAAAGCCTTTTATATATATATATATATATATGTGTTATCTAAAATAAATTGGTTAGTATGATTGAATTTTCCATGCTTTCTGTTACCATCTGTTCCCCTCCTCCTTGCTTAAAGAATCTAGTAATTGTAAAATACCAAAAAACACCAAACTCTTTCTTTGCCATTATACACATGGGATTTTGTTAATATATTCCTGCAAAATTACTTTACCTGACCTTATAGATAAGGTAAATTCATGTGATAGAATTTATTTATGAAATGAAAACACAAAATTCTACCTTTCCTAGATATCATTCGACACCACAGTGACATAGCCTGAAACTAAGTGTCTATCTCAAATCACCTAATAAAAATATAAATTTATATTCTTATATATATAAAAGAAATATAATGTAGTGGTTCCAACGAAAGAAAAGTATGTATATTAAAAAGAAGAGAAGAGAGGTGCCGCAAACGTTTTTGGTTGTAATGTGGACTTATTTAGAAAAAATATTATGCTTTGTTTTACATAATTTCACGACACATGTTTCTGGTCTCACGACCGTCTTCAGGTAAAAGTGGAGATTTCCACATATTATTAAAAATAATAATTAATTTTTCCTCATGTTCAATGTTAAATATTCTCGATATGAGACATTTTCTGTTTGTGTGTTGGTAATCTGAATTTCCTTCTTGATTTTTCCTCTTTAATATTTAAAATTAATTATTATTTTTAATAATATGTGGAAATCTCCACTTTTACCTGAAGACAGTCGCGAGACCAGAAACACGTGTCGTGAAATTATGTAAAAACAAAGCATAATATTTTTTCTAAATAAATCCACATTACAAACAAAAACGTTTTGGCACCTCTTCTTTTCTTTTTAATATATATATATATTTATATATATATATATATATATATATATATATATCTCAATTGATAATTAGTAGGGATAATTCAAGGAGGATATAAATCCAAAGAGAGCTCAATGTAAGTTACAGAGCAAATATATAAATCCACCCGGTTATAATTTATTTTGTGATCTTTTATATTCATCTCTTCAGATATAACTAAAAAAGAAAAAAAATCTGTAAAAGGACAACAATATGAATAAAGATAAAAAGATAACTTATATCAGCCAACACGTTTCATCAGCTGATGTTGTGTATATTCCCAACGTGAAATAAAATTAAAAATTAAAAGGGTTAAATTTGAAACCTCTGATTATATAAAATATGTAATACATAAACTAAAATAAATAATTACATTATAAAAAAAAAAAACAAATCAACATTTACTCTCATTTATAAAACATTAAATGCCATCACTTAACCTCATCTATAACTTAACTTGATTTTCACTTAGCCATATATATATATATATATATATATATATATATATATATATATATATATATATATATATATATATATATATATATATATATATATGTTCTTAAAGCCATATATCACTTAGCCATATATATATATATATATATATATGTTTAAAAGTTTCAAGAATTTAGCATTTTTACTTCTGTTTATAAATATTTGTTGCAAAATTCTTTCATTTGCTTTGATAAAATCTATCAAAGTATGAAACCTGTCAGGTAAGTTTTCCTTTTATCTTCCCACTCACTCACATGAAAATGTAACTGAAGTCTTTAAGAATATTTATATAGAATAACGTTACTGGTTTTGCAGTTCCATGATTTTCAAGCTATGCTGCGATATGTCTTGCATCTGATGTTGAAAATCTGAAATATGTGTGATGTGTCATGATATAGCAACACTGCTTTTCATCTTGGTTTAACTTCCAAAAATTATAGAACTAGGGAATTGGTCAAGTTAATCTAAATAAATATTCTTAAAGACTTCAGTTGCATTTTCAACTTCTTTTCTCCATACTTGAAGTATGTGGGAGATATAGATGCATGGTGGCACACTTAATTTTTCTGAATTCCAATAATTTATTTGCCATAATGTATGATGAGTTTGTAACATTTTTAAAAGGAATGTAAAATTCATGGATGAGAATTTTCTATGGAATTTCTCATTGTATTTGTCTTTTTCCTCTTTGTCTCCCAGATTGAAATTTCAATATTGAAGCTAACAGCCGCATCATATTAAAATATTGGTTTCAATACGACCACCAAAGTTAAGCAATGTTAAGCCTGTTCAGTACCTAGATGGGTGACCGCTTGGGAATACGAGGTGCTGTAAGCTCGGACGTGCAGGTAGTGTAATGGATAATGGCTTGGAATTTTTAATTGGAGAGCTAAGTTTCAATTCCAGTTAGGTTCATTATTGCCCTTAGCGAAGTTATGAACCCACCACTTCTCCCCCCCAGCTATGGGTTAATTAATAAACATGTATCAATAAATCATTATTATCTCTCAAAAATATTGAAGTAGCAAAAAAGCTGTTATATGAGGTGTATTTATGCAAATGACCACCTTTTCTGGTGAGTGGGGGAAGCCATGAGTTTAACCTGACATAGTGATCCAATATTAATTTTTAGCTGGAAATGGAAATTCTTCTTTACATTCTTTCAATTGAATTTAATTTAAAAGCTATATTTACTAAATTAACTGGAATTTTTATTTAATATTTTTTGGCATCTTTCCTTTTTTTTTTTTTTTTTTTTTCCTTTTCTTATTTTAAATTAGTTTGGTTTGCTTTGTTTCATGGCATATCAATCTCATTTAATGCCGACGAGATTTTTTAGGATAGGTTCGTATAAATAGAAAAATGTATTCTTTGTAAGAAATCAGTTTGCAGGAGATCAGGTTTCATTGATGTGTTTTTGTCGGTCAAATGTATTGCTGGTAATTTTTTTTTTTTTTTCTCAAAAAAATGTATTACTGATATTTTTACCATAAAAATCTATTTTTATATTTTCATATTGTTTTTGATCAGTTTGGGGGTAAGCTATTTACCCACACCTGGGACCCCTTAGAGGAAATTGATATTTAGATTAAACTTAAAAATCATTTTTACATATGAATTGTTTTTTAAAAAAAGATTTTGATCAGTAATTTTAAAAATTGGTTATCTTGTTTGGTTATGTGCCTAAAATTTTACAGCTTATTACTACTTTTTTCACTAGGTGTTCAGTTTTGTTGTTAGGACTTATATAATAAAGTTTTCAGGGTGCCTGCCCCTCTGCTTGAATAAGAAATGAAAAAAACACCCCCACTTATCAAATAAAGCTAAATGCTTTGTTTTGCTGATAACAAAATTTTTTTCTTTCACAGCTCTGCATTCATAAAATATATACAAAGAAGCCCCAGTCATTGCCAGTGAATGGTAGAAATCCAGAGTCTCCTTACGAATTTGTAGAATCTTGATGTGTGCTTATAATTTAACAAGTAAGTTTTCAAAGATGTCATCTTCGGCATCAAAACTTTTTAAATTAAAGAAAAAGAAGACATTGATTGGTGGTACTGATGAGATTGTTTCCATACAGGAAACATTTAGTATTCACTGACCAAATAGTGTCGGTTAAAATCTTCTCTTAAATATTTTTTAGGAAATTAGATTTCTCAAATTTTCTATTATCTCTCTTTCTCATATTTTCAAAGTTTCCTTTCAAACCTTTTGTTTAAGGTGGAAAGTCAACATATTATTTTCATTTCATTATGTGTGCTAACCATTTTTGCTGCTGTTAATGTGATTCTGACAGGAATCAAACCTTTATCCTACATGGAATTGCTATACAGCCTGACGTGCTTTACCATTTAGCTACAGAGGAAGCGTCTGGTTAGCAAGGTTAAATTACTGTTTTGTGAACTACGAACTGCCCGTGATTTCTCCCGAACACTCATATCTGCTCAAAGCGTATCTTAAACAAATGACATAATATTTTATGAAATGGACTGAAGTCTGATAAATAATAAAAAAATATTGAACAACCCAATATCAGGGAGAGAGAAAAAAAATTCAATAAAAAAAGGAAAAGACTAAAAACATCCGTACCGATTGAAAATAATCAATCAGCACTGCAATGTCTAGTCAAAAGAAAAAACACTGACAGAGCAACTTAAGTTAAAATATAAAAGTGCTCAATACACTAAGTAGAGCAAAAACTAAAAGTTGGGTTATATATATATATATATATATATATATATATATGAGAGAGATATCAAATGTTTTCAAATCTTGACACTTTTAAATAAAACTTATCACTCTTTCTAGTATTTTCAGTTTCCTTCCAAACCTTTTGTTTAAGGTGGAAAGTCAACATATTGATTATTTTTACTTCTTGTTATGTATGCTAACCATTTTAGTTGCTGCTGCTAATGTTAGAATTTTTCAAGTGATGGCATTCTTGCTATTATGGAAAGTTTGACTATTTGGATGAAGTCATTCTGTGTTTTGTCACATTTGACTTGCAACAATTCAATCAAGTGAAAATATCTTCAATTCCTGCCTGAAATTCTGGGTTAAGGTTATCCTTATTTACACTATTTATGTGGACTATTGTCCTCGTCTTTATTTGGGCTTAGCACCATATGACATTGAAACACTGGTTCTTGTACAATTTCCAAAGTTAAGCAACATTGAGCCTGGTCAGTACCTAGATGGGTGACCACTTGTAAATACCTGCTGGTGTAATGGATAATGGCTCAGATCACTTATCTAAAAAAGAAAAATTATAATCTAAAAAATATTTTCTGGCTTTAAATAACCTTCAAAGGGTTGATAATCCATAAAAAAAGCAAGTAAATGATGTTCCTTCTTATTGCAACATTTTGACTGTTCTACCCTCCAGCTCTCATCAGATGCTTGTTGATCCAGATAACCTTCAAGGAATTTTGAACTGAATCTTTTATTTAATCTGTAAGGATAGATTGCTCTTGTTTCACTGACCATGTCTTGGGATATCTCACAGGACGAATACACGTGTGAACAAACTTGCTTAATGTAAGAGTCACATAACGTTAAAATCAGATGTTTGGAGATGCAAGACATGAACAAAATTTACACACACGTTTTTGTTACAAAATCTTTATATAAATATTAAATGCATCTATGCAATAATATTTATTCATTTATACCATTTTTTAACTGTTAATTTGTATTAGTTTTAGTAATAACAAAGTGTGTGTGTGTGTGTATTTTATATAATAATTATTTATTTAAAAATATGATTCCTCCACTACATAAGTGTTCTCATGTTTCAATAACAAAAGCTGAAAACTTCAATATAAGATTAGAATTAAATTGAATTAAAGTACCAAGCTGTTTCATCTTCTAGCGAAATTTTTGGAATAACTAATCTTGAAATTTACGCGTCTTTAATTATATATATATGACTTCATTATCCAAGTATTTTTTTGAATCTAAAAGAAAAGAACAAAACACCTACGGTTAAATGGAGATTGATTAAGAAAGCCCGGACAGGTAACTCCCTATACATCCCATGTTACCTATGTATTAACGAAAAATTTGAAATTATTAGATTTAAAAACAAGGCTGATCTCTTAAATCAAAGATATGAACTAACAGTTAATTGTAAACACCGTTATAAATTTAAATTATTATAGAGGTAGTATACTTTAAATGACAATGATATGTCGCTGTAAGTTTAATAGATTATTATTTTTATTGCCTGATGGTCATCCTGACGATATGAATGTGTATTGTATACCTACAGTTTTATTCGTGTATGTGTGTATATATTTATTTGTGTGTAGGTATGTGTGTTTGTACTGCAGAAGGTGTATGTTTGTATATAAGTGTATTTATATGTTGGTAGGTTTTGTATATATATGTATATATATTTGTATATATGAAGTAAGAAGGTAAAAAGGAGGAGAGGAAGAGAAGAGGTTTATAAATATTGATGTATATATATTTGTGTGTGTGTGTGTGTGTATATATATATATATATAGATAGGTGTATGTGTCCTGTTATTGTGTATCTAAATTTATATTTACGTATATTTCTGTTTGTATGAATGTGTTTATGTATGTTAGGGTACATGTATATTGGTGTGTGTATGTATGTTTATATATGTATTTAGTTGAATGTCGTATTTATGTGTACGTACGTATATAAGTGTACTTGTTATTATAGTTAGGTATATATATGTATGTTTGTGGATGTATATGTGTGTATTTACCCCTATTATATATGAAATTGTGTGTATGTGTAGGTATGGAAACTTTGGTTTGTCATTACTGTCACATGTGTTAGTCTATGTGTGTATATATGTTTATATTTATGTATTGGTGTGTGTGTGTGTGTGTGTATATATATATATATATGTATATATATATGTGAGTGTGCATAAATATGTGTGTGTGTGTATATATGTTTATATATTTATACGTATGTATTTTATATATATATATATATATGTGTGTGTGTTGGTTTGTGTTTGCTGCCATGTGTATGTATGTATGACTGTACACTTATTTCTGTAGGTAGTTCTTTTTATCATATTTTTCTTCACTAATATATAATAAAACTATTATCAACTTATATGATTAAAATATGTCTTTATTGACATTTGTGGATTTGGAATTTTCGTTTTTTAATATATCAAATAATATTATTTTTAACCATTTTATATTTGCTTGCTTAACTTATATTTTAATAAGTGGCTAGCATTTATTTAATGACACTTTCAATCTTAAATATTTATTGGTTGTGGTATCTGATTGTCTAGGTCAATGTCTGTGGATGTGTGTACATGTATTTATCGGTGTCTATGTGTATGGAAAGTGCATTCACTTTTAATTGTGTGTGTATGTATGTATGTGGTTGTTAACTTGAAACTTTTAAAACCATTTATTTTACATTCAACATCATCACTTGATAAAACACCGGGAGTGTTGAAACAAAATGGCTATTTTTGTAGTGATTTTATAACATGCTTATGTTATAATTTTTTTAAATAAATAATATATATATATATATATATACACACACCAAATGTTTTCAAAATCTTGAAACCGTTAAACAAAACTTCTATCTGAAGTGTACCAGTTAGGTCTGCATGGTTCAACGTCATGTGTTACACTGCATTAATGTACATGACATGAGTGCAGTTCCCTTAATCTCTTCACCCATGAACTCAGTCTTGAACATTCAGGCCAGTAAATATTGTTGAATACTGTTTATTATAAACAGAGCATTTACTTAAATATTTGTATCTATAAAAAGAACATATATATATATATATATATATATATATTTTAAGACATTTTTGTGTT